AGAAGAAGAAGAAGAAGAAGAAGAAGAAGAAGAAGAAGAAGAAGAAGAAGAAGAAGAAGAAGAAGAAAGGAGAGCATTATTGCTCCCTATTTCCAGAAGGGGAGCTACATTAAACTCTTGGATAAGCGCTAGATGGCAGACAGCATACCTAAAACTCTGAATTCTGCCGTCATCTAGCGACTGCCACATTTTAAGATTATTATTAGCCTTCAGCTACATCCGCCTTCTGCAGAAATCAACTGGGAAAGCCCGGGGCGGGGGGGGACGCGAGTGCTCTCCCTGGCCACGCCCCTTCTTGATTTGCATCGGAGGCTTCGGACTCCAGAAGAATCCTGAATTAGAATCGAACAACGGTGACCTTAGCCGGAAGGACCGTGCTTGAGCAGAATATCCGGTTGCCGCTCTAGGCAGCGGAGATGGGAGAGCTGTCGATGGTGTTCGCGCGCTTTGTGATGTTTTATTGTGTCGCGGAGATTCGGCGGCCTGGAAACCCGGAACCGTCAGAAGAAGCGGCGACGACGGCTCAACGACTGTGGGTCGCTCAGCGGCCGGGTCTGATTGGAAGCCGTTGAGCAAGAGGAGGCGAAAAGACCGTCGGGTTGTACGTCAGTAACGGTCTTCGTGCCGCGAACCGTTGCACGCGAGCCTACGGGGGAAGAAGCGCTGGGGTGGGTTTTTTCCCTTTCCGTTTCGCATCTTAGGATCAAGGAAGAGCTAAGGAGGTGGGGAAAGGAAGGAAGGCAGGCTTCTGCGCCCAAGAAGGGCCTAAGAGTGGGTTCGGTGGAAAGGGGGCCGCTTCTTGTTCTCCCTCCTCCCCTCCCTCCGCATCTGCTCCAGCTTTCACCATCTTTCTTCCGTTTCGGCTGCACGCAGAACCGAGCGGGAATCCAGCGCCATAAGCCAGCCGTCCCCAACGCAGTGTGCCCTTGTGTAACAGCCATGCTGGCAGGGACGATGATGAGAGTTGTAGCCCAAGAAATCTGGACGATACCAGGTTGGGAAAGCCTGCCTTAGTCGTCCTCCCTGGGAAACACGGCCAAGAGGAGGAGGAAACAGCGTCCTCCGCAGGCACTTGTCTGTTTCCTGGCAACCTCTGTGACTCACATTAATAAAAAGTAAATAAGATGAAGGCCCTCCTTTTCACCACTGCCGTTCTTTCTCATACTCGCTCGGTGGCCTTGCCTCTTGGGGTCGGAGGGTGAAATGGATCTGTGCAGAGATCCAGTTTTGTTCTTTGTAGGGTTGCCTCTGTAGACGCCCAGATTTGTATCCTGCCGCTGGGACAGATGGTTTCATAATATCAAGCATCCTTTTCTAAGAGAGGCTTTGTTATATATAACTTCCTTTAATAGAGCCTGGATACAGCTATCCATGTTGTGGTGACTTCTAGACTGCCCTATTGTAATATGATAAATGTAGGACTTCTTCTAAAGAAACTCCAGTTAATAGAAAATACAGCTGTTAGGTAACCTGGATTGATAGAGAACATCCCATCACTTCTTAAATAGCTACATTTATTCTGTACCATCACAATGTTCAATAGCTATTATTTCTTGTGTCCTGTAGTTTTAATCAGTTGCCATTTGTGTCTCATTGTCCTCTGATGTTGTGTCGATGGTGACCTGAGACAGCCTTTTTGACCAGGCAGCCAGACATTTGTTGCATTTTGAATTATTTTTCTATTTGCTCTGGCATTTCAGCAGTCTGAAGAGTAAATTTTAATTCCTGTTTTATGATTTAGTCATGCTTATTGGGCCAATGCAGCTATTTGTCTCCCCGGTCTTACTATTAACTTGTTTTCAACTGCTTTTTTTTCTGAGAATGTATATTAAAAATCAGATTATTAATTGCATGTAATCATTCAGAAAAACATGATTGCAATTAAAATGAAAAATGAGCATTCCCCCCCCCCTCAGAAAACCCACTAAGAACTGAATCTGGAGTCCATAGAACAGAGTGGGGAAAATGGAATGAATTAAAATGAGTTTCAGGTTGAGGAAGGTTGGCATATTGTATTCTAGAAGACAATCAGGGATAATAGATGAGCTCTGTGAAACACACATTTTCTCCCCTTCATAAATCTGGAATGCCTCATTTTTTAGGAGCTCTAGTTAATGTTAATGATTATTGGGAAATCTCTTAGAATGCAAGAAAACTTTTCTTCAATCCATATCAGTCACCTTCTCCTATATGCTTTCTGTTATGAAAAAGCAAGGCTTGAGCTATTCTGGAATTGGGCTGTGTATAAGATGCATTCTGAAATTGGGATCTCTATAATCAAGTTTATATCCTTCAATCAAATTTCCTCCCTCAGATAATATTGTGAAATAGAATTAAATGCCTCACATTAGATACCTTGTATTTTGTTCACCTTGTCTTGAACTCTTGGAATTATCTCTGTAGAGCACTTAAACTATAATACAATATTGAGGTTTAGAGCTAGATGAGGTGAATATACAACAAGATCTTGGTAGCCTTGAGCTATTGTATTAGGTAGAGGGGAGTTTACACAACTGCTTCTGTCTCTGTACTCCTTTAGTATTGGGTGACAACAGGACAAAACAAGTGAATTCTATTTTGCCACTCTCAACCCATTTGAAATTATATTTATCAATGGAGCGTTCGTTATGAAACTCATATAATCAGAGTCAGTTCTTAAGCTTGCTATAACTATTGCAGAAATGCATGTCAATCATTAAAGGAAGGGATTGGTGCCTTTAGAATACTCAGGCCTTAAAAATTATTAAAAAGTAACTGTGATGAATATTTTTAATTGGAGGAGAGGGGTAATATTGTAGATGAACTTTGAATATATTCCAGAGCATCCAGCCCTTTGAATCTTGCTGGAACTTATTACATGCCTCTTTCTCCATCTACACTTCTGAAATCTGTGATAGTATCCTAGAGAAAAAAATGCAGAAATATTTTTTATGAATCTGTGAGTGTGTAATTAAGGAACTTGTGTATATGTTCACACATATCTGAGCTCAGGAAGAGATCACTGCATTTGGTGGGAAATGAAATATCTTTAGTGGACAGCTGCTAGCTGACTTGCAGAAAGTACTTTCAGGAAATAGATATCCAGAACTTGTGTAGGCTTCCTGTATCATCCTTTCCTCCACCATCCTTTTTTCTCTCAGTTCCCCAGCCACTATGTTGAACTACCAGCTGGTCTTTTTCCCAGTTGCACTTTTGAGATAAAATTAAAGGTGTGAACAGTGTGTTAGCCATCAATTGTTACTGAATTGCAACTCCCACTGTTCCTCAGCATTGACTAAGGGTGATAGGAATTAGATTTCAGAGATCCATAACATTTTTATTTTTCACTCTTGCTTGTAATTTAAGTTCAACTAGTTAAGGAATGGTTGAAGGTTTCCCTGATTCAGATACTTCAGACCTTGCTTAGACCTTGCTTATGGCTGAAAAATAATTTTCAGAAGTTTAATCTTAGGTAGGATAATTTTAAAGGATGCAAATTATACTGTTAACTTGCATTAAATTTTGGTGTGCTCTTAGATTCTTCCTTAATGATAATTTAAGACAACTACTTGATTAGTAGATCTCACCCTTTCCTGGAAGAAGAAGACAATGCAGTTCCAGTTTTCATTCCTCCCATCTGTACTTTTGTTCTGCAGTAACTTTGGGCATGATGCCATCCACTATGAGCAAGCTCCAATTAAGTCCAAATGCAGTGGCACAGTTCCTTCAGCATAGAACAAAAAAATATATATACATTTCATACTTGGAGTAAAATATATTTCATAATTAAAAAGATATACTGCATGGAAATATTAAATTTCACAATGTATTTCTCTCTACCATCATGTTCGCAGGAGGCAGGAAAAACAGTAACAATTCAGTTAGGTTTCTGTCTCCCAGATTCCTATGACTTGCAAACAGAGTATAAATTCAGGATCGTAAGTCTAAATGACTAAGGATCATGTTTATCTCATGCAGGAAAAGTGTTTTAAGAGCTGGTGATGATACACCTGAAAAATATCTGTGTTAGTATAAATAAAAATCTGAAGCAAACAAAACTTTTTTCCAGGATTATGAAAATAGGTTTACTGCTAATTAATAAAGAAAACAATTTGGTTATGAACATCATTTATGTTTAGTAAAGTCTCACTAGGAATAAATAAAAAATTTCCAAAAATGTACTAAATTAATTAATGAAAGGAAAATTATAGGTGAAGCAATATGAATTTCAAACAGTTGTAATAATAAAAAGGTTGAAAAACAAAAAGCCTTGGAAAATTAAATTATAAATAAAACAATTCCAAGGCTAACCCTGTTGTTTGAAAATGTTCTAGTGCATTTTGCATGATGATGGTATGTTAAACAGCTTTGGTTGGCTGAAAAATCAATCACATTAACTTTATTATCTTTGCATTAGATGGATATCAAATGTCCTTAGATCAAACTGTTGTAAAAATATTCTGATCAAATCAGAGAGATTTTTGTAACTTGGACATTCACATGTATGTGTGT